TGTGCAACAGGCCAACCTGCGCGTTGTAAAATTTGAAGTTCTCCTTGGGGGAATACCCAAAAAGGGGGCGAAAATGGTGATCCACATCTACTCTCGTTGAGCGCAACCCAGGTGGATGAGCATCTCAGTCAGGTTCAACAACCAAGTTGGGCTTGCCCTACGTGAAATCCACATTAGATACTATCTAACTTAGGCTTTCTTACAACCCACACTTCCTCGGGCAAACGTCACCTATCCATGGCCACCTCCAAACAGCCCCGGACTCCCCTTTGCACTTCCCAGCACGCCTGTGCTGTGCCTAAATACAATCGAGAGCCGATAGCACAACTCAAATCGGCCAAAGGAACCAGCTTCGGACACTCACCTCGACCTCCATAAAGAAATCAAACCATGGTTCATCCAGGTCAATGCAACCCCATATCACTCATGCGGCCAGTTCACGCGAAGCACCGATCCGCCGAACCGCGCACCCCCCTGCGCCTTGAGGCTGTCCGCGTCCCCGCCGGTGAACTGCCGCGAGTGCGCGAAGATGTCGTCCCCGCCCTCGTCCGGCGCGATGAAGCCGAAGCCCTGAGAAGACGAGAGACGAAAAATGGGGGGGGGGGGGCTCGCCCCACAAAACACCCGAGGATGGGCAAAAACCAGTTTGCAGCAGCTAGGATATATATATATATATATACATATATATATATATATATAGGTATATATATATGTGTGTGTGTGTGTGTTTGTTTGTACATATATATATATATATATGTATTCACATGAATGCCCATAAATGATGACATGTGCTGCGGGCCCATAGTACACGGCAAATGGAGGTCCCCGAAATGGCATCCAAACTGTTGTTTGTGTCCCTTGAAAAAAGCCCGCCAACCGGGGGACTGACCAAAACAAGTTGCACACCCAACTTGGATGTTTGAGCTACTTAGGTGAGGTCATGATGGAACCCAAGCTACTTCACACATGTAACACCATAGTTATATCCTTCTTGCCAAGCTGCGTCAGCGTGGCACCACCTACTTAGCATGTCGGTAGCCAACAAGTACTTGGGAGTTGCGGAAACCGAGGGGGCTCAAGGAGAAGTCACAACTAGCTAGCGCCTTTTGTCGCATCCTCTGGAACAAGTTTGTACCTCGAAGAGGCCCAACCGTCCAAGGTAGCTTTCCAAGGACCCTTTGACTAAGGTCAATGGCCCCAGGGGCTGTGAGATGGACCCATCTTCTGGTTGGGCCCGAAAAAAGTAGGTAATCACTGGGCTGCCCTCAGATCCCCCGGCAAAACTTTCACTTTTAGCGGGTTAAAAACTACCACTAAACACAAAAAGGCTAAAAATGGAGCCACCAAGATGAATAGTGGAACACCAGTCTTGAGAAAGAATTGCTTAGTGTGTCGCCCTATGCTCCTCTCACTTTGAATGGCCAAACCCCGGTTAAGCACGCCGGAGGAAAAGAGGAAAAAAAATATGCCAAAGGAAAAATATATATATATATGCCAAAGCTGTAACGCCGAAAACGCGCCGCGGCCTTGTCGGAGAAGTACTTCTTCACCTTTGCCAAGCGGAAACCCCGCGGGGCTTAAGCGGACATGTCAAAGAGGACGGGTTTTTGTTGGCGCAAGACCAAAAAACGGAGAAAGAACAAGTGGACACATCGTTACTCCTGGTTGGTGTTCGAAACGAAGGAAACGCAGGGTAACCGCTGGAAAAGGAAAAACAGTACAACGGCAAGGCCAAAACGGTCCAAAAGCACACCCTCCAACAAAAAGCCCAGAAGGAACACACCAACAAGCTGGCTTCAATAAGAAACAAATGGTAAACTTGGAGGGCGGGGGGCAAGAACACCTTGGAGTCTCGAGCTTTTCCATTCCGGATTTTTCCCGCCCCACCAGCCAGCCCCGTCGCCCGGTCTCCGGCCCGCCGAGGGGCGCTGCCGGAGCGCATGACCACCACGGCGGCGGCGTCCAGCTGCCAGGTGGTGGCGCGGCTCTTCATCTTCCGCTCGTCCCACTCCGTCTCCTGAGGCTCCGAAACGGAGGTCCGTGGACGTCGTAGCCGGTCAGGGGAGGGGGGTGGAAACCCACCCATTTTTTCCGTTTTTTCCTTTGCCTTTCTTTTTTTTGGGGGGGGGACCAAATGGTACAGTCTCACGGTCTATCACACGATTGGTTGTGACAACCAGTTAAATGATGACCGGGAACATTTGTTGTGTGTCTTTGTTAGCTAAGTAGGTTGACCACCATCGTGGGGCGAAATAATTCTGTCAGTTAAGCGGGCAATTGCGACAAGGGAATGCTCCAGGGGAATGAACCGGTTCATTCCCCAGAAAGGAAACCGATCCGGGTGGTTGTAACCTAGGTGTAATTGACACGGTTGATTATGATAACCACTGGGCTCCAAATGTTGACGGCTGGTAATCACCATAGCTTGGAATAGCTTGATCTGGGCGTGTCTTTGTGTGATTGTAAGCTATCTCAGCGGGGATGGAGCCATCGCGACGAAGGGATGGTCAAACATAAGGAGGTGACTGAAAGGGCGAACCGTACGTTCAGAGCGTCGGTTATCACCGTAGGTTGCACTACCGAAGCACGCTACCCCAACTGGGGCAATGTCCATGGCTTTGTTTGAGCCAGAGAGAAGGTCCATGGACTTAGGCGCAGGGTAACAGGGGTGGTTTGCCTGCGTCTCCTTTCTCCTCAAATACCAAATTGGACGATTCTACCTCAGGGATGGTTTCCTTTCATGCGGTATAACTTATAACCCACGCAATGTTTCTCGTAGAATGGTCTACTAGGGGTGACTATCAACCTACGTTGAAGGGGGGTGGATGGGGGATCAGCCAACGTCAAGCCACAAACCATGATTGGAGCTAGGCCCAGTTATAGAATGTACATTTTATTGTTTGCTTCACTTTGAGTCACTGGTAAAATGTAAAATGTATCCTAAGTCTACCCCAGAAACGCAGTAGCAAGGGCCAAGAACTCGATGGCGAAGGATGGGACACCCAGGTCAAGCCATGGTTGTCGTTGGGATGCATTTTATATTTTTGCTTATTGTGGTTTAGTGGGAAATCCCCACTTACCTGCTAAAACATATTTTTTTGCTCCACTTCCAACGTGAACCAACAAGCAGGGCCTTCCAAGTCTTCGGTTTAGGTGAGTGGGACCGATGCTTTAGCTGCAGGCTTGCGACCACGGGAGCGATCTTGGCTCCCAATGCCATTTCGGAGCAAAAAGACATATTCCACAAACCGGAAATGAGGAATCCCCAGCAACCCAAAAAAACTCATGGATGTTCAGCCCAAGCAGTGTGCGGAATCACAGTTGTAAGTGGGCTTGCAGCGAGTCGGCATCGTTTGTAGCCACTACGTGGACCACCTGGATGCTTGCCCTGCGCAAGTAGGCCTTTTTCCATGGCTGTGAGCCAAATGACCCCATGCTACCCCGCAGAATTTTCCGGTCATGGCTATGCTTTCCAGCACGGGTCAAAGGGAAGAACCAGGGAAAGCAGAGAACTTCAGGCCGACGCGCTTTTGGTCTGGGCTGAGGGGTGTTCGCATTCGAATGATCCGAAATTCAAGCTCCCGGCTCTCAGCAAAAGTCCGCCCTGTGCATTTAGTGCCCTGATGGAAAAATCGATGGCCCTGGCAAATGGGGCAATCTAAGCCAGTAGGCTTGCCCATCTATTTCTACCCCAACCTGGCCTTTAAAAAAGAAAAGGAACCCGTGGGCGTCACTTTATCTTGGGGAACTTCGCACATCTAACCAGTGGAAGCCTTCTATTTCCAACCACACCCATGCCCGTGGGCGCATTTCTCTCTTTTTGGGCGGAACTTTCGTCACGTTCCAAGGCTCGAAGGTGCACTTCTCGCCGCCCCGGAGGCTATCGGCGTCACCCACGAACTGCAAAGTGTGCGCGAAGACATCGCCGCTGCCTGCGGGCAACCGCGGAAACGCGGGCTGTTCGGAGCCCCAAGTGGAGAGTTCGTTGGGTCTCCTCGAAGTTTGTCGCAAGATAAGGGGAACCAGAAAAACCCACACCATGTGCTTCTCTTACCTTTTTGTTAGCGTTGTTACCCCATATTTGGCGTGGTTACCTCACCATCTGTACCTTTCTTGGCTGCCCATACAAGCTGGAAGCCTGCTTTCCAGGTTGCCTTTGGAATTCGCATGGCGATCACCCTTTGCTGCGAGCCTTCGGCCTTCGGTACGGCCCCGATTGACCAAAAAAAACACGAAGGCGCCCCCCTCTTTGGATTGGAAATCGCTCATTGGCAGGGCGAACGACTGGTTTGGGCATCCTTGTGTCTGCCAGGAGCACAACCTGCAGATGGCGTCCTTTGTGGATCAGCCCAGTGGCTTTCCATGGAAAAAGAAGCACGACCTGCGTGGTCTCAAGCCCGCTAAAAGGGCCAGGCATGAGCTAAAGGGAAACTCGCCAAATGGGTTCTAAGAAATGAGTTCTGGTTGTCCCTTGGTGCAAGCTGGATGCTCTTTACCGGAACTTCGGTAGAGTCTCCTGAAAAAGCGAGCGAAGCGGATAAATCCCCAGTGGAAGCCGAGCCGCCGTCGTCCGGAGAGATGAAGCCGAAGCCTTTCTCCGGAACGAATTTCTTCAGTCGCCCCGACGGCATTTCTCATAGCCCCATTGAGCCAAAACCTGCGGGAACATGGTAAACACACGTTCTGTGATACCAAAGTGGTTGTATTTTTTGTTTCTTTTTTAAAAACAAAGGACTAGATCACTGTACAGGGCATGCCCAAACGCTATCCTTGGTATCCAGGAGCTTCAAAGGGAACCCTGTCTTGTCCAACGCAATTGACCCCAAGTCTTACTTTTTGGCTCGCAAAAGCAAGCCAACCCAGACTTCCAACGTGATCCTGGCGAAAAGGAAAGGATTTTCGCTTGGAGATGGCCACAAAGCTTCTAGTTGGGGCATGTACCCTCTTTTAGGCTCTCTTCATGCATGGGCATATGTCGGGCTTGTTCAGCCCTGCCCCACCTCCTGCGCCGCCACGTGCCACGTGCTCCTGGCATGAGTCCGTGAGCGCAACACTACACTTGTTTCCCAGTTGTTTCCCCAGGGCGTGGGAAAATGAGTGTCTCCGGGCTGTGGGAAAAATTTAGTGAGCCCCCTCATGTCCTCCGAATGAACCCATGGACTTCCAATTGTACGGAGCCTGCCAAGGATGGACGGTTGGAAGGGATTGCTTCCATCCCAAACCACCAGCAAACCAAGGGAAAATGGTTGCATCAACTAAATATTCAGGAGGGTACTAATAAACCAGGGGGATGGGGGGGGGGTGGTGTGGTAGTGCCGCTAGTGGGACAGGGTCCGGCATTCGTTTCGTAGCACGGCACCACTTGCAAGGGCGCCCCACAAAGAGGGCGGATCAATGGAATACATGGGAGTTGCTAGGTGTCGGAATCCAAGGGCGAATGACACAAAAATCCTGCTGCTTGGGACATGTTGGCACCATCCCTTCTTTCATACAACGTTAACCCCGGATTAATAAACCCCTGGTTGATTTTACTAGGGGGGTGTCCCCGTTTTGGAGGGAACACCCCCCTAATAATGGGACGGGTTGAACAAATCCTGGGTCAAATAGGGGGTGTCCCCGTTTAGTGGGGATTCGTCACTTAATAATGGGACGGGTTTATTCATCCTGGGTGGACATTACCCGGGTTCGGTCGATCGGTCGATGTTCCGAAACCAAAAAACTTCCAGCCGTTGATGCCTCCAGGAGGCGCACACGCCGCACCGCCAGGCGCAAGAAGAAGTCGGCCTGGCTTTCTCGCTGAAGTTTTCGCGCGCCGGGCGTTCAAGGGCGGGGGCCTCCATTTGCATTTTCGTCCCCTGGAAAACATTTAAAAGAAAAAATGTCCAGTAGTGAAATCGATTCTCTTTGAAACTAACAGAGGAGAAAAAAAAAGTAAATAAATAAAATTAATTTCACCAAGTGGAAGAGGGGGAAGCGACGCCAAGGTGATAGTCCCGGCCATTGGCTTGAACGCCAGGCTTTGAGTGTCGCATGTGGTGCCGTCCAAGAATCCAGTCTTCGCTTTTTTGGGGGAGACAAGGGAAAGCCACAAACCAGGGACTCCTTGGCATGGGTGGGTTCCCTCTGGAGAATTCCCCACACAAAAGCGGACCATTTTGAAAGAAACCAAACGGATCACGCATTTTGTGGGGTCCTCCAAATGTCCTCCATTTGGAGGTACAAATACAGTTGAAATCGTCGCTCATTCTTCTCGTAACTGGGAAAAAACCGAGTTTCCTCTACCTTTTTTGCACCTTTTGGGGCAAGTGGTTCATAGCGGCAAAACCACACAGACACTTCCCAAGTCCAGCTTTGCTGCTAGCACCTCCCAGCCTGTCAAAAGGAGCCGTTCTCACCCGAAAAGGGATTTCTGCACTTGGACCCCTTGAGACTTGGCTTGTGATACCAAGGTTTGTGCGCGTGAGCCTGCTTGTTCGCTTCAAAAGGCTAAGGGGGGCAAATTTGGAAGCTCAGATACGCAGTGCCTCAGAAGCTTCTGTTGGAACCGCGGTTTTGCCGCCCCAGGAGCACTTGGCTGGATTTGCAGCCCTCCAAAGCACTTGGCTTGCAAGGGCCCAGGGTGGCCAGTCAAAACGAGAAGGTCGCAACCTGACCCCGAACGGCATGCCGCGAGAGGTGGACAGCCGCGGAAAACCGCGGGACTCGGAAGGCTTCACCAGGCCTCTCTAGAGCTTCCCCGGCTGACCCTACGCTTGGTTGGTCTTGGACTTGGACCCAAGTGGTTTGCTACTCAGCCCACAAACCCGAAGGCAATCTTCTACTCTCGTTGGTCGGTGAAAGGCTCGCAAAAGCTAAGCCAGATGAGCTCCACATCTTTTAGCTGCTCAGCACCGGAAGCCTACGGCTTGTGGAAAAGACACCACCGGTGCCGATGGGAAGCTATCGGAGCTATCACAGCGGTTGACAGCCGCCAGATCCGCGCTGATTCAACAAGAGCGTCAGGTAACTCTTCCCGGATCCAAACAAGGGCCCACTATGTGAATTTGTGTGTGTATGTATATACACACATATCCAAAACCGAAACATGACAGGCAAATGAATCATTAAATTCATGCAGTAGCCTTCGTTCCGCCCCAACCTCGCCAAGCTGGATCCCTTCCACCCCGAGGTGTGTTTTGCGGTTTCAGAACCAGCGCGGCGATCCAAATCTCGCACGACCTCCCCGAGCCGGATCAAGGGAATTTTGGGGTAACACGGGCAGGGTGCCCTGTGGTAATGATCCCTGTCCACTTTTGGATCCCACCGGAGGTTGCATCTAGGAAAACCGTCTTCCAGGCATCTTTGGTCAGCTTCGTTGTTAGTGGGAGGGGAACACAGCCGACAGGCTCCCTAGTTTCGCGGCGAAGCCTCCGCGCTCCAAAAGGAAAGCTTTTCGGAGCCGCGCAAAAGCCTGGAATGGGAAGGTGTGAATTCCTTTAGTTGACATGATGTACCTCGAGATTTGTGTGTCATGTTGCGCCCGGTTGCCGGGGAGGGTCATGTGTGTCTAGAGGGCCGGAGATGAGATCCGCGCTCAGAGAAATTTCGGCTCAGAGCAGCCACTGCAAGTAGCTCAGGGCCCAAGTGCCCTCGAAGGCCTGGAGGGGTGTGGTGTCACCCGAAGGATGCCCTCCCAAAACAACCCACACATTCCTTCCTTCCCCCATCGAAGTGGAAAACCCACACAACACAAAACCTCGAAGCGACTTTTGAGGGAAACGAACTTGGAGCTCCGGACCGTTTCACCCGTGATTCAGAAAAACCAGCTGATCGGGCCGGAAAAAGGTCCTCCTGGACAAAAAGAATCACAACAAAAAGTTGCCCCTGACAAAGATCTGGGGCAGCTTGCCTAATCGGTCAATCGTGACCCTTGTGCCTGTATGCAAAGGATGCTGTCCTTTTCCCCTGTGAAGCCGCGATCGTGGTTTCACCATGCAAGGCAGCAACTTGGTCCGCCCCGCGTGTCGGTAATTCCGAGCCACCCTCAAAGCGCAGCCACTTTGAGAACCCAGTTCAGGGCTCGTTTGCTTGCGTGTGAAGCACCCGTCGAAGCGAGCCTGGAAGTACTCCACGAGATCGTAGCGGTCGAAGACCATCAATCCGGAGATCCAGTACCCGGCATCCTGGCGCCCGTGAGAAGCCCCTTCCTCCCTGGCCAGCCCAGCTGAAAGCCCAGGCACAAAACGTCTTATCTACAGGGGCTTGCCTGTTGGACGCCCTTGTTTCACCTCAAAAAGGGCGGCGTCATGGATCCCCATAGACTTGCCGCTTAACGTTTCTATGAATCCCTATGAAGCTATGAAGGGGTTGATGGCCATTCCAACTGGTCGAAAAACCAGTTGCTGCAATCCATCACTGGTTTGCCTGCTTCTTTACCCTCCCCAGCAATACGTATATATACATGTCCTGAGCATGGTCATGATCCGATGTCCACGAATGGACAAGCGAGGTCGCTTCATAACCAGGGTACCGTAATTCATGCATATCTTCAGCGAGTGACCATGCATTCTTGGTGCTTGCCCGCAACCATCGTCTCAAAATAAGGTCAGCTTTCTTAGTGGCCGTGGTTCACAAGAAACCAGACCCGAAGCCAGCTGGGAACTAAGACAAACCCAACTGAGTCTAAACCAACCGATATGTTGCTTGGACATGGCTGCTGTTCACCCTCCTCTTGGTTGGCCGTTGAGACCAACTGGTTGCCAGTTAGTGATGGAGACCTTCGGTTGGAAATGTTCACAAAGGTTTAATCACAATGTGGGTCTCACAGAAAAAGCCACCCGGCAATTACCCATTGGGGTGTGGCGGGTCTAAAATAATCATGTTCTGCCCTGCGGGAGCCACCATTCCTCACAGAACCCTGAATTAATGTGGTTCCCACAGAAGTGATCTATCTAGAAAGGAAGCATTAGGGCCCCTCCTTCAATTTTGAGGAGAAGCAAGTTAGGCATTTCTGAAAATGATGAGGTCCTTCTGGAATGATTCAGAGGGATGACAAAAACGAAACCAAGCCCCGCCCATATGCATGTTGAGTACGCGGTTGAAGGGGACTCTATGGTTGGTCCACCTGCCAAGAACGGACCCTCAACCAGAAAAGTCGCGCTAAGTGGTTTAGTTGTTTTTTTATTTTATTTTATTTTTTTATGCGGGTCCTCTCTTGCATGTTCAGGATTGCATCAGCGCATAAGAACACTCGAGCAGCTCTTGTATCTCGGCAAAGGGGTGATGTTTTTTCAGCCATCCGAGAGGGGACATGGTGGGCCGTGGTCGAGGAGTCCTGGTGTTTGTCTAAATTTCCTAACCATGGCATGGGTTTTGTCTCAACATGGGACATGTGTTTTTTTCCCCCATTTGCAATCAATCAAATACAAGGTGTCTGTACTAGAAACCCTATGTTCAGCCAAGAAATGAACATGCAACCAAAAACGAGTCTTTGCGAAGGAGATTCCAGGGCCAACCATACAACCGCCTACAAATTGATCGATGTTGTCCACCGAGGGAGCCAAGGGACTGCGCCCCACCAATTTGTCAGGATCTTCGGGGCGATGAGGCATAGCACATCCAGCAACGGGACGGTCCACCACAGGTAGCCTAGCGCATCGCTTTTTGCTTGCTGGTGCGATAACCGAGGGAATGTGGTGGAATGAACCCTGGGATTCCCTCAAGGAATCCCTGAAACCACGCAATGTGGGAACGAAGCGGTTTTGGGGATTCCCGTAATTAAAGGAAACCACCAGTTGGATGGTTTATATTCGGGTCATTCCAATTCTCATTCCTGCCTATCGCGCCAGCAAGTTTTGATGGGGTTCCGTTCTTGGCAATTCTGCATTGGTTTGTTTGCTTTTTGTCGAATGTGTTCGAAGGGAACCTTCCAGTTGGGTTTCTGGCCGGATCAACAATCGGGCACCAGTCATCCATCCACATGCCGGAATGTCTTACCATCGCAAATCATGAAGGAATCTGCCCCCATCGTGGTTTCCTGCTCTTAGAACTTATGGACGAGACTAATTCGCAAACGATTCCCCATATGGTTGGAAGGGGCATTCAACCCATCTGGGTGTCTCTTTTCGTTGGGGGAAATTGTTGGGTTGTTTTGCGAACAGACAGCACTCTGTTTGTATTGACGCTGGGTAATCTGACGGGATAGCTCACCTCAAACAAATCGGAAACTTCCAAACAGGTTCATTGTAGGAAGCTTTGACCTCCCCTCCCCCCTCCCGAAGAAAAGAACAACTTTGGAAGGAGTTCAAAACGACTTTAATCAGGGCACCCCAGAATCCCTCCAATATCCTCCAATAAAACCGCAACCCGTTCGGTAGAAAAATCTCCAGAAATTGAAGAGAGGAACCTCCATAAGGGCTATGGTGTCCGTTTTGACTGCCCTTTACACACCCAGAAAGAGGCGATCCATGCCTTTTTTCAAATCCCCCACCCAGCCCCGAATCAAAATGAGTATTTATATGTATATACGTGTTTGCAAATATATATCTGTTCAGGAGCCGTGCTGATGACGATGATCTGAATGGATTTGCGTGGATTTGCATTGGACACTTGGAGTGTACTTGAGAGCCTGGGCTTTTCGGGTTCGGTCACCCAGCGCCTGCGCGCCGCAGGGGGCTCTCCAGTGCTGTCCCCTCCATGTCGAGGTCGATGCACTCACCACACTCCTGCGACCCAGTGTGATGTATATATTTACATACGGTCAGCATGAGGCCTACATGAGTTCCACATAAGGTCAATATAAGTTC